AGTTTGTAAGTAATAACTGATGATATAACACCTGTAAGTATTTAGTTCATATGCTGGAAGGTAATCTACCTTGATGATCTTCTAGCAAAACCTGCCAGAGTATGAGAGTTAATTGCACTAGGGAGAATGCACTACATTTATTTGGGATGGGGCTTTGGCAAGGCGTACCGTGCAGATGTTGCATTACGCATTCTCTATCAGCTAGGCAACTATTCTGTGTGTGCCCATGTTAAAAATGCAGCTCATCACTCTTCTGCCCTTATTTCACATGAACTCCAAATGCACTGGGAAATGGTAGTGACCTGCCCTGCTCACAAATAGTATAGTTTTTGAAATATTTATCTAGGTCTTGAACTACTGATTCCTCAGTAAAATAAAGGGCAGAAGTAAAAAATTGAAGTCAGAAGATTGTGATTTTTCGTTTTTATAATGTTGGCATCACATTGAATGTTAATAGTTAGACCCAGTGCTGTCAAGATTAGTGTAGTGGTATTTTTCTGTGGTGCAAACAGGTCTGATATAGTTTTGTTTCTGAAAGCAAACATGTTTGCTTAATTTTTGTAGTCAGGCATCGCATTGCCATGTGTAGCTAGCCTTTTGGCTTAACGGGCATCCTGCTTACAGTGCCTTCCAAGACTGAATGTATGGACATCTTTAACTGTCAGTACTTATTTTACTTCCATTTTCTTGGAATACTGCATTAGTGATGGCTGCTTTATCAGATAGTGTAAAAGCAGTTTGCTGATCTGAAATGGGGGCGTTTGTTAGAGAATATCTACTTGTGTAGCTAGAGAGAAGGGTGGCATGTTTATGAGTGCTAGATATACACTTAAAGCTGAGTGCCAGCAAATGCTCACGTGCCACTCTGAACGCAGGTTTTTGTGCACCTGGCATCCTAGTTCAAACCCTCTTAACAATGAGGAGAAAAAAACTGAAGGCAGCACAGACATAGGAGGTGTTCCTCTGCTGTCAGCTAGCAGCTATAGATTTGTGTTTTTGTGATGTGATCCTATTTTTATTTTATTTTTTTGCTGCACCTGTTCTGAATATAGAGTTCAGTGGATTTTTACAGGAAAAATATAGGCTTGTAACTGTCATTTGCATGTTCTTTCTCTGAATTGAGACCACTTATTTTATTCAGGGGAGTGTGGCAATCATAGCTGTACATAATTCCTGCAGAAAACAATGCTTTATTTCTTGCTTGAAAAACGGTCAGCTAGCCTTCTGAGTTCTCTGACGTATTTGTCGTAGCTACTGCTGGAGACAGTTGCTGAACCACACCCCGGGCACCTGATACGAGGTTCCGTATGATAAAGATTTTGATAAAAGATTATACTCTTCAAAAAAGTTGATAGACTGCAGTAGATACTAATTTACTTTAAAAATCTTTACTTTTTTACATTCTTCTTGGCAAATTCTTATGAACTGTTGGAAAGAATAGCTCCTTTACATTAGCTGTGCACTTCAAATATTCTTATTGTTTGGAACAGATTGTTCTTAAAATAGCCCGGATCTCCTGCTTGAAATTATTTATAATATATTATCCTCATTCTAGTGACAAAACTGTGTGCTTGTATTGCTATCAGAGCTGCAAATCCAAAACTGAGCTTTATTGAGTTGAGACCTATCCATCAACAATGCGCAGTGATGGAGCCTCAGGTTTAGGATGCGTGTTGGCTGGATCACTAATACGTGTCCTTGATGCTCTTCAGGGCACCTCTGCGTATTGTAGTCTCTCACGTATCGTTTAGAAACTCTTGCTTTATCTTTAAATGTACTCTACCTATGTTTCTCTTGTGGTTGCTACTTCTGTTCATTCCTGGCTTCCTTCAGGCTCCCAGCTCTGTTCTGTACAACTGAACTTGTATGTTCTTCCTTGTGTTACTCCCCTGCCAAAGGAAACCCCAAAGCTGAAAATCCAAGTAAGAGAATTGTGCTCAAGATACTGTCAACAGCAATTTTAGTTCATTGTTGCTTCTTCTGTATTCAAATATATTTCAGGTACAAACTGTAAAGCCAGGTACTCTGGGTTAAACTCTGATCCTGTTATCGTCTATGGGAATTTTGCTCTTTACCGTAACGACACAATTTATCCCTGTGTCTGTGTTGGCCCTTGCTTTGGCTCTCAGAGTGCAAGACTTCTTGAGTTAATGGTTTTTGGGCCGCCGCTTACATCTGTTGTACGTGCAGAGCTACCACTGAAATGTCAGAACCTTGCCTGTGTTGAGTTTGTAAGATCTGATTTGATCCGCTACTAGTTTAGCCACGCTCCCTTACAGTACAAAGCCATGTACGCTGGCCTCGTTCTGCAGATGTGTCTCCTGTAGCAGGGCTGTGTATTAATGCTGCAGAGCAATGTGTAAGTTGCTTTTAAGAAGCATTTGCAGACCTAAAGCTGCTTGTATAAAGCTGGGGCGCTGTTTCTCTGTTTTTAGGAAATTTTCAGGACTGAATGTGTGTTTAGACTTTGGTCTGACTCCCTCAGCAGAAGGGAGTACTGGGATTGGATTTCACTGACCTCCCCACGTTTTTCTTTTTCAATCTTTCTAAACATTACTTGAGCTATTTTTTGATATCTCCTTGTTACAGTACAAGTATTTCACATCTAACCAAGTCATATTAACTCCATATGATTCAAGGAGCAGTCTAAGTGAGTTTGTTTGTTTAAGCCTCTGTTAAAGCAAGTTGTATCTTCAAGTACCATACAACAAGCACAGAAGAGCTCCACAGAGGGGGAAGCACAGCTGTTCCATCATGGTCCGTCATGGTTTCCATGTGTCCCACAGGCAGCATCTTTCTCAAGCTCATCTTGTAAAAGTACCTAATTTCTTATGCTCTAAATGAGTCTAGATTTTTTTTTCTCTTTTCTCTTTTACCCAGCCTACATCTTACAGATTTGTCATGGCATGCTCTAGTCTCACATGATCCTTCCTGAGTGTAAACGTCAGTCCACTTTCCCTGCGCTCTCTACCATCCTGCTGTAGTTTTCAATTAAACCATTAACAGAAATGCACAAATTACTTACAAAGGTGTTGACTCCCTTCTGATTGCCAATGGTTAATATTTCTTTGGGGTCAGACCCTGCAAGGTACTGAGTAGCCGTTAAGGCATGTGAAATTGGAACTTGATGTTGTACCTGATATGACCTCCTTCATCTAAAGGAATGAAAAAATTCTGCTTGCATTCCATGACATTAAAAAGAATTTTCCCCCCTGCAAACATATTGTAACTGTGAAATAACATTAAAGTTTCTCTGCCTTGTTATGAAGTATTTAAATGTCAATGCCTTTTCTGAGACCATCGGGGCAGATTTAATGGTGGCCAAGGTCAACACATGCTAACTGGTACCTCTCTTTTAGGGCCTTGAGGGGCTCCTAATAGAGTCTTAGCCGTGCAGTTAATTTGCAATTTGGGCCTTTACTCTTAAACCTGCTCCTGATGATTATTTTCTGCCATCTTCGTTCATGTGCTTAGATTTCTTAACGTTCTCATGTCTCTTCGGTCAATCAAACAAACTGCTAAAAAAAAATTCTCAGTTATTCTATTTTTTGATTTTCTTTTTTTTTCTTCTTGTCTAATTCTGTTTATGCGGTGTAGGCAAATTAAGTATGGGCTTTCTGCAGACCACCCTAAACTGTCAGCTTTAACAGGGTGCTCTAAGTTGAATACCTTGACATCTCCCACTGTCTTCTATCCTGGGTGTTTGGGAAACTAGCTGCCTTGAAACCCTTTTTTTCTGTTGTTGCCCGAATAGTATGTTTGCAAAAGCAGGTAAGATGGGAGATGAGAGCCAGCATGTAACCATAGGATTCCCTTGCTTTCCCTTTTCTGCTGCTGGTCATCTCTGTGTGTGCTGTCTAGTTTAGATTAAAAGTCTTTGTAGCCTTTACTTGTCTGGAAATATTGCAGAAAAGGATGGCACTCTGTGAATAATAAATAACAAAACTCTGTCTTTTTGGCAGCATGTTGCATTTCTGCTCGGTTGCCCTGCCAGCCCCTCTGACTTCAAAATATTTTGATGTCCTGCACTTTTCACCCAGTCCATGCACCAGCCTTTCCTCAGACATTTAGCACTGACATTAATGCAAATATCTCCAACTCATTGGGCCCTTTGGGGCAAAACATGACATCCGTTGCTTTCAGTCATGTGGTGGAGAGGATGTTTTTGTGTCCACAAATCTGGAAATAATAAAATATCAGTATTCAGGTGCTAATCTATGTTAATTCACATTCTGTGAAGTCTACAAGAAACTTGTAATTGGGTGTCTTGAAGGGCAGCAGAGTATGTTTGGTATTTTGTTTATTTATAAAAAAAAATAAAGTATTTAAATAATACATATAAGCGCTGCATAGATTTGGATTACATCTCTCTTCTAATCCTTGCTGTGTGCTTGCTTGCATTCTTAAGTTCTAAGGTTTTTGGGCATCCCGGTCGTCTTCCAATGTATGTGGACAATACCTGATCTCTTGTAAGCTTCTGTCCATCAGTGGCCAACAAATTTCACTACTTCTAAGGTGGCTTAGTTATCTTTAACAAACTGGCTTCTTTAATTAAAAAAAAATAAATAAATTAGATCTTTGTCAAAGGTCCCAAAGGCTTGGGGAGTTTAAATTCAGTGTTGCTGAAATTACTGCACAAATCTAGAAACAGAAAAGCGAGTGCCTGAATCACTGCTGTTCTGATGTGCATAACAGCTCAAATGCTTAAGTGTCTACATGAACCATAGTGCAAAGATACTCCAGCATGTAAGCAGGATTTTGGTATCTGTTACATAATATCCACAAGTATAACAAAGCCACTGAAATTTGTTGACAAATGTGAATTACAGTTGCTTGCTTTCTTCAGATTTTTATCAGAGTGTAATCACTTGCCCAGCTTAATTGAAAAATCACTTACGGTTATAGCTGAATTTAAACATGTTTTGTATTTAAATGACAGCTTTTGATGTACAACCATTTTTTACAGAAAGTAGTTGGTTTTTATCTGTGTTTCTGTAAAGATATTTCAAAAACTCTCATCAAATTTCCAGCGGTAAGTAATATCCCATTCAGTGCAAGGTGAAATGTTTTACATCAAATCTCCTGCTGTGTAATGGCCAATCAAAGAGTATTTATAGTGGCTGAATGGATTTTTTGGCTCGGTATTCAAAATTAAACATTTTCAAACATTAACATTTAATGTTTTTTGCCACTCTTCAAGTTGATTTTATGTAACCCTGGATGCTCACAACTACTTGATACTCTGAAGCGACTCATTTTATGCTGAGGATTCTGCAGGCAGTAGTTTTATATTTATTGCACTTATGTAGATGGAATGAATTGTAGATTTGATAGCAGACTCGTGTATGTCTTTTGATAAACATTTTCTCGGGTTGGTCTGTACGTCCATCAGCATGGTGCAGCAAGTCTAATTTCGAGAGAACGCATTTACCCCATGAAATTAATGAGTAGAGATATATATTTTTTTAGTTCACAAGAAATTGTTTCTCTTATTACAGGTTTCAAGTAAGAAGAGCTCATGCCGACAGCTGTCTTTGGAGCTAGATGGTTCCTACTTAGGTATGAAAGGGCCACGAACTTTTTATAAGAACAGTAGCACATCAAAGGCTGGAAGCCCAGGCCGTGTTGTGTTGTCCCAGCCTTGCAGAAATAATCATGATTATGGGGCTGAAGTCCATCACAACCATCAGGAGTGTCTAAAGGAATGTCCTGTGGAAAATGGCTTGCACAGAAAGTGCAACAATACGATTTCCTTAAGCAAGCAAAGGAGCCCTAACCGTATGAAACCAGCTCAGCAGATGGAACAGAAAGGAAGCGAATTTCAGAGCGCATGCCCTCAGCAAATGCGTCACTGTTGTGCCTTTAGGCATGTAGGGAGCCCAGGTGCCATACAAGAGAGCCACCATGTCAGCTGGGTACCTGGAGGACATTCTGGACCAGTTCGTGAAATCTGTGATTATTCTAGGCTTTCTCGAGTTTCTGGGCTAAATGACAGTGTGGATGCTGGGTCTAAAGAAACAGAGGAAGCTAAAAGGCTATCTGAAGAAAGAAGGCAGCAGCTTCTTCTGCAGAAAATGGAGCTGGAAATTGAAAAGGAGCGTCTCCAACATTTGTTGGCTAAGCAAGAAGCAAAACTACTTCTAAAACAGCAGCAGCTACACCAGTCCCGTATGGATTATAACAGGTGATTTTGAGATTGATAGTTATTTAAAAAAAATCTAAAACTTCTCATAAAGCTGTAGGCATGGGCAGTAGTTAAAATGGTAGAATGGAACAGAAATTCATTCTAATGATTTAGAGGAGAGGGTACTTTTTAGTATATTAGAATATACTGCTGGGAAACAGCAGGACAACTGTGGAAAGCAGCAGAGGAAAACAGTATGTGGTAGGAAAAAAAGGTAAAAGCAAAGCAGTGCTAAAAGACTAGGTAGGAAAAGAAGAGCAGCGGAAAAAAATGAGAGACTGATCTTAGTGCAGGTACTTTTTAAAGGAATATGGATGTTAGGCAAGAGAGCACTGTGAGCGTGGATGATGGAGATGTGGCGTGTCCTGTCCTTTTCTCTGAGAGGTCAATTCTGAGGTAGTGCACCTTTCCATGTAGGGCCTGGGAGAAGTGTGTTTTACAGAGACAGGTTGTTCTTTATGGATAAAGAAGGGAGCCCTGCGAAGGAAGGACATCTTCTTTCTTATTGTGTTCATGCAAGAGCGAATACCAAGACTGAGGCACAACGCATGCTTAAAACTAGGAGAAGGGAAAGGCAGTAACCATAGAAATATAGACTGTGGCTTGAAAGTCCCGTGAGTTTCTTGCAGGATTTGAGATAACGCCTGCCCGAAAATGAAAATAGTGACGGGCGATAGAGAGAAACTGATTTATTGTATCACGTTACGTAGACTGGAGAGGAAGAATGAAAGTGGGTGTGTTGAAGCCGCAGAAGGGAAAGTTGTATTAGCCACTGTAACTGAGCTGAGTACAAGAGTTTCAACATTAGGAAGGGAAAGCAATGGGGAAAATCTAGCAGTTTTTTAGAAGAACCAGAAGAAGCAGTAGGATGGTTTCAAAAGAGTGCTGATTTAGATACTATTTTAATATGGTAGCTGCTTACAGCATCCCACAAGAGTCTGCGTTATATGACCCACTTCCTACACACACATATAACCACCACGGAGGAATATATCACTTTCTCTTCTTGATCTCAGCCCTCTGGTTACTTTCCAAACTCTTAACATTGAACACTGAAATTGTGGTGGTCTTTAATTTGTCTTGTTGGACTGTATCTTACATAGAAAAGAGTGTGTTTATTTAGCTTTTAAGATGCCTGTTTTATCAGAGGCAATCACAATTGTGTGTGTGTTGAAAATGGCTGAGGTCACAAACAAAGGATTATGACTTCAGGTGATAAATAAGTAGGAACAGATGGATTCTTAATCATCAAATACCTTAATTCTATGCATGTACTGAAAAACAAGTAGAATAGGAAGGACATACAGGCTGAGTGCTTTTTTTCTTTTCTTTTCTTTTTTTTAATGGATAATTTTTAGCTTTCTGTGAGGCATCATCTGCTCCCCAAAAAGCAACATTAAATACCTCTATAATGATGTTCCTGTTAATATCATTGTGCTGATTTTAGCTAGTTTTTTTTGGTGAAAAATTGCATATTTTGCAGAGCTGTAGTTAGTTAAAAAAAAATGCTATGAGAGGAAATCACATATGATCAATCTAAAAGCTCAAAGTATTTTTGTGGTCTCTTTCCAGAGGTGCAAGTAAATGCATGTTTGCCATGTTCTTTCCAAGAAAATCAACTAAAATATAATGTACTTGGTCTTAAAAAGAAATCAATCTTTTTAGAAAAAAATATTTGCTATTTACAGGTAAATCTCTTAAACATCATAGTTCTATTTCAGTTTTAGCTGTAGGATAATTTTATGTACTACAGACAATAAAAATTTGTTTAGCTCAGCTCGAATACTTTTACTGCCTTGTCAGAAGGCTTTAACCTAGTTCATCTCTTAACATCGTGACAGTTAAAAAACACAAAATGACAACAACAAAAATCCACCTTCCAAAACTAGGACTCTTTATTTTTGTCTGTCCTTCTGCATGGGTGGAGTCCTGTATAAGGTCCAGTATGAGCTGCTGAAAGTATTGTCATTGAATCACAAGTAAGAGGTCTGACCATTTGCAATTACTGGCTATTAACTCTTCTATTTTAGCAAGAATACGAATTGATCTTTTTTGGCCACAGTGCATCATAACTGCATTGTAATTCCCCACATTTCCCTGTTTAGCCTCAAGTGAGCATAGTACTTTGATTGCTGTTTCTCTGCATGTGACATAGCTGCTCAGCTGTCAAAAAAAGTGATGTGTGCACGGGGAAGGGGGCAGTTCAATGACTCCTACTGATGTCAACCACACCAGAATAGATGAGAGTTCCAGAAATGGCAAAATATTATTTCTCATTAATGGGGATACGTCTGGATGAGTCCTGGAAACAGGAATTTTATTCAGATAGAGAGGGAAAACTATTTTACTGTCTTCACTGGAAAAAGGAAAGAAAAAGAGTTATCCCTTAAAACAGAGTATCATCTGTGGGGCCGTAGTTTCAGGAGACAGACCCATCTCCTACGTTTTATGCAGCTCTCATGATGCCTTTGAGCTCTGGTGCTGCTGGAGCTGTAAGCTGAGCCAAACAGGAATGTTTGTTACTGGAAACTGTGACCATATACTCAAAGGAGCAGGCCTTTAGAAACCAGTAAATTAAATTCTTCTCATCTTTTTTCCTAATGGTAACCATCAGAAGCAAGGCACTGCACATAAGTCAGCTTTCCAAAACAAAAGTACTTTTAAAAGCACAAGAAGAGTTGTGAAAGCTTCTGCATTTAACATGATTACATGCCCTGTTTCTGGCCACACAACTTACCATTTTGTGCTCAGTTCCCAGTATGATGATTTTACCAGCTTCAAAGCCAGTTAACTCTGCTTTTCCAGGTTTAGAGGCCAAGTACCTAGTTCAGAAGATGTGCCCATTGGTGAAGCACCAGGAGAACTTGATCTGATGATGAATGGCACCAGCATGGGACTAAGGTAATTTTTCTCTCTGCTTTTAAGTTGTTCTAAGTTTCTGTATATCTTCTGGACTCTCAATGTGTTATTGACTGCCAAGTCTATGTGTTTATATGTTTGCTTTTTCCCCTCAGGAAGGATAAAATTCCTTGGCTCTTGGGTTTTTTTAATGGATCAAGTGCTGAGGTATTACTACTCAGGTTTTGGGGATTTGCTTCCTGTGGCAGTCTCAGATTTTGTGTGGCATTTTGTAAGGATGTTACCCTAGCTCAGTACAAAGTGAAGTTTTCACAAAATCTAAGGTTCTGTTCTTGCTTGTTATTTTTCATTTAAAAATCACAGCATCTCTTTAGTCTTCACTTAGATCTGATGTAACAAATATATTGACCTTAAACTCACAGATAGAAATGATTACAAATAATCCAATGAAGTTTTGTTACAAGTCCTCTTTTAGATGTAAAAATCTCTTACTGCTAGTGAGTTACTTGCTTTTTAAAATACTGTTTTGCACCTGTGTATCGGTGTAATCAGAGCAAACTACCACTGAAATAGCTGGGAAATAGCTGAATGAAGCTAATTTTTAACTTTGTCTCAATTTTGCATGCTATTTAAAACTCTTATATGAACTTACTGTTGTTTTGTATGTTACACCTTGTTGCATTTCCTGTTACCACTGAAAGAAGATGCTGGCATATTAGAAAAGCAACAAATGAAAAATGTAGATTTGAGAGGTTTTTTCTCTCTGAGAAAGTTACAAATGCTTGTTCTGTATTTTAACTGTGTTAACTCAATTATCCCATTAAGAAAAAGAGAAGACTTTAAAATAATAAGCTGTTCTCTCCACTTCTGGTATGAGAATCCTGGAAGAACTGTTAGTTTATTTATGAACTAAGGGTCAAATGGTGCCTTTATTTTTCTTTTTAACTTCGATTGATATTGATTTTTTTTTTTTTTGAAATCCCTCTTCATTGAAAAGGGAAAAGTCTTCTTTCTCCAGAGCACCACAAGTTGTTAGTTTCCTTGAAATACTTGCGGCTTAACTAGGTGCTTCGCTGCTATGCAGTACTAGCATATTCCTCGTATTCTGACTTATTTTTTGTTTGTTTCGTTTCCACACGGACTGCAATGATCAAAATGTGATCACTGTAACAAAAGAGATGTAGAGTCTTCGTTTGTTTAATATGCAGTAGCATTGAGCTCCTTAGAGGAAAAATATAACCTAGAACATCTGTAGGGCTTCTTGGTAACAGTTTGCCAAAAATCTGCAAAAAACTATGTAGCCTAGCAGGGAAAATGAAGAAAACCTGTGTATTTTACAAAATGAGAGTTCCAGATTTGGAAAGGTTCCCCACCCTCTCTTCGTTCCCGTGATTCAACCTACCATAATTTTTCAAAGTTAGTATGTGTTTGAGCCGTCCCAAATTGCCCTACCAGCTGTTTCCAAAGTTTGGAAGCAAAGCACTTGGAAGTTTTTTTTTTCCTTATATGCCACCTTCAGTTTTGCAAAGGTTACCAGATGAACGCTCCCTAAATAATTTACTCTAATGTAAGGCTGAAAGAGGCTGAGGAAGACAAGTCCATATGTCTCTCTCATGCATTTGAATATGTAAACAATGTTTTCTTCAGTATAGAGGGAGGGTGTGCAAGTGTGTGGCTAGGGCTGAGAAAGGGTGATGAGATGGTAGGAATACATCTTTTTTTGGAGCCATCTTTCTCTCTGTTTCTCTCTCTGTCTCTTTTTTTATTTTTCCTCTCCATATTGACCTTCCAAGGGGTTCTTGTTACAGCAAATGCTCTCAGAACCATAGTGGAAAATCAGCCCTCTCTGACTTCCAGTTCATACATGAGAGCTCCTCGAGCAAACCTCTCAGTGTGACACTTGATTTCAATCTTCAACTAAGCAAAACTTAGCTTAGAAATATCCTGGAGTTTTAAAGGAAATGGTGAAAGTCCTTTAAAATATTGAACTTGTTGAAGTGAGATAGTGGAATTTAGAAGAAAAATAAATAATATAATCAGGAACTGGAAAACATTTTATAATTAACAGCTCATTTTGAGTTAATTATCTACAATTACGAAAATCTAATTGCAATTTATTCTCTACTATCTGTGGGAAAAATTGTAGGCAAGGGAATGTGCATCACTGGCAGGCATAAATGCTATAGGATGGGCACAAATAATAGAGGAGCCCTTAATGAAAAACAAAAAGCAAATAGGAGTGTGCAGCTGTGCCAGGCTATTGAAAGGTAATTGTAGTCAGAAATGAGATATGTACTTTAAAAGGCATCTTGTCATCTCCTGTAGGGATTAATTTTTCCTTACTTGAAAAAAAAAAAAAAATCCATGAGCAAAAACAGAGCAGAGTTTGATCTTTGTTTCCGTTTTTGGTCATAATAAGCCTGCTTGTGAAAGGGGAAAGCTTTTACCTGGGGGAATACTTCAAATTACAACTAACTTTGCCAGTGGATGTCTGTTTTGTTTTCTCTTCTGTGTGTACCATTATGATTTCTTTTTCATTACTGAAATCAGCCACTGCTGTCCATCTCAGCCTCTTTGGATTGTCCTTGTGTGAATTTGCAGTGTTGAATTTGCCCCTGCCCTGCTGGGTATGGTGAAAGAGGAGCTGGCTTGGGAAGGATGTGCCCCTTTGTCTGCATGCAGCTGGGCCAGCGCTGGGGACCCGCAGAGTCTTCAGGCACGACATCTCCGGTTCTCTAAGGCGCAGCAGTCAGAGCAGCAGGTTTTATGGAGGATGGTTTTCAGCAGCATGGAGCACTCCTCAGTGAGCCCACAGCAGATTTGCAGCAATGGAGATAGTAACTTGTACAATTAATGGCAAGGTGTCTGGTTGTCTGTATAATTTCTTTTCAAGCCTTCCCCGCTGTGCTTTAAAATATTCAAAATAAAAACATAACCTGATGCATTTGTTTAGCATAAAAAGGCCTTTTACAAAGCGCTTTCCATCTCCCAGACGCAGATGCTTGGTACATGCTCAAGTACCCACTCCATGCGTATTCAGTAGGATCAATACACCCGGCACCTGCTTTTGTGTGTGCTCCTGACGTCTGCATCTGGGAGAGGAATTTTAAAACAATCCACTCTCCTCGCCTTTATTTAATCTTAACTTTGAATCTGAACGTTGTATATCATGGAAATAAGACCTATTTAATAGCACCAGCTAGAGAAGATATAGTTTGCTGCTTTACAAGTACTCTTCCCTGGGTAGTGCTGTGTGCCTAAATCTTAGTCTGTAGAGCTCCCTGCTTATCCAGTTCTCAGGTTTCCTGTACAGCTCTGCTGGCACAGCTTTTTACTGCTTTCTCTGTAATACGCCTCCTTTCCTTGGATTTTGCACAATGCTGCCACTGCACCTCCACGCTGACCTGTGCAAGGAATTGTTGGATACAACAAGTATCGAATGGGGTTTATTGTTATCTAGAGGCACTCTTTCAATGTATGCTACCCGTTTAAAGGATTTCTTTCCTGGAGTAGTAAAGATTTCCAGGTGTCGTTTGCCACCTTTCATTTAATTGACGGCTTTTTATGCGTGTGTGCTTCATTCTGTATCGCCAGTTTGTATTTTTTCCTGCTTATATTTTTAGTTAGTTGAACATATCAGACACAGAATTCAGTAGTACTTTCCCTCTGTTTGAACGTTCATTGCTATGGTGATAGTTCCAGGAGGGAATGCTATCAGGAGTCTTTTAGAAGGTTTTGTTTACAGTGTAGCTATTTTTATTATCTTGTAAGAGAAGGTGACAATTATCTTTTGCTTCTTGTTCAGCACTTTGTTATACACACCGTTTTTTTTTTTTTTGAGGCTTGTTAGACATATAGGCATCTTTCTGTGGCGGTGTGCAAGCGTGCTTCTGCTTTTGTGCCCAAATGTTCGCCGCAATTAAATGCAAATGCAGAAGAATGCGGCCTTGCAGCTCCCCCTGCTGTTCCAGGCACATGCTGTTGTTGTGCGCGATCTTTCCCACCCACCCCTCTGCTAGTTTAAAAATAAAAGAAAAATCACACGCAGTCTCTCAGTTCTGCCACCTTGGACCTCACTTGCCCAGTCCCTGTTATTCCAGTGGCTGAAGGGAACCGGTATTTACAAGTCAATCACGGTAGCAGCACCCGTTGTGCTCCATATTGGGAGTATTTTTGTCAGTTCTCCTCAGGGGTGGCACGTATCACCTCCTGTCATCCGCGTCCCGAGCCTCTGGAGCAGAAACTGTCGCCAGGAGCAGAATTTGCTTTCTGTCTGAGACCTGTCAAACTTCAGTTCATCTGCGAGCTCTTCTTGGTCTCTAGATTTGTATCTACTAAGCTTAGGTAGTACTCGGGCAACTTTTATGAATTTATTGAATACAGTTTGCTGGGATTCCTTCCCCCCCCACCCCAGTCTCTTCACTGTTTGGAAGTTTGGCAGGCTAGCACATTAAAACGAACTGGAATCAACTGTGCTTTGCAAATGGCTCATAAAATCTGTATATCTGGAAACTGCTTACCCACTTGTTAGTGTTCCTTTTAACACCCAAGTTTCTTTTCTGCGCTAGAGTATTTTATGTTGAAGTTTGTATCATTTTTAGATGGGGTATTTGCAGAGCGAACACTTGTTTGGCCAGTAAGAAAGTGCTTACAGATCTGCCAAAAGTGCAAATGCGGAATTAGTTGCAGATAGGAATTTTTCTTTCACTCATGGAGCAGTCTGGATATATATAGCCACAGCATCTCTCCAACAGATGGCTGCTGTAGTCTATTGTGACATAACAGGAGAGTATATGCAGGATTAGATATACGTTTTTGCTTCATTAGTGCCACACACAGACTCTGAAGGTAGTAGGCTTTCTGGTTCAGGATGAAGGATTTTGCTCCGACATGATAACTAAAAGCTTATTGCTAGATGGGAGGGGAGGAGGGAATTAGACTTTTTTTTTTTTTTTAAGGTATATGGGGGGGATTATATTTTTTTAAGGCAGACGGCGATCCTTGTCAGAGTAGGGAGCGAGGAGTTCGTTTCCCCTGACCTG